GTTTGGGCAAAACGTTGGTGTTTGGTACAAACGGTCATGGACTGAAGGTATTCCAAGATCGTATTTGGGTACCTAAGTCAGGGGAATTAGGATCTTCTGATGGAAGAAGCTCACAAACCATGTACTCGATTCATCCCGGTAGCACTAAAATGTATAGGGACCTGAAACCCTACTACTGGTGGCCGACGATGAAGCTTGATGTTGCAAAGTATGTGGCTGAGTGTGTGACTTGTGCAAGAGTCAAGACACAACATCAGAAACCGTACGGGAGTTTAGAACCATTGCCTGTGCCTATGGGTAAGTGGGAAGACATTGCTATGGATTTTGTCACTAAACTGCCCAGAACAAAGAATGGTCACGACATGATTTGGGTGGTCGTTGATCGATTCACTAAGAGTGCGCATTTCATAGCAGCCAGGGAGAAATGGTCTATGGAAAAGCTTGCGAATTCTTATGTGAAGGAAATTGTGAGACTTCACGGTGTTCCGCTAACAATTGTGTCGGATCGTGATAGTCGTTTCACCTCAAGGTTTTGGAAAAGTCTACAAGAGGAAATGGGTACCAAGTTATGTTTAAGTACAGCTTACCATCCGCAGACTGATGGTCAGAGTGAAAGAACGATACAAACACTTGAAGATATGCTGAGAGCATGTACCTTGGAATTCCTAGGTAATTGGGATGAACATTTACCATTGGTAGAATTTTCCTATAATAATAGTTTTCACTCGAGCATTAAGATGGCACCTTACCAAGCTTTGTATGGACAAAAGTGTCGTACGCCGTCTTGTTGGCTTGAGGCTGGGGAAAAGCAGTTTATGGGACCGGAGATGGTTCATCAAACTGCTGAAAAGTTGAAAATAATTAGGGAAAGAATGTTAGCGGCTCAGGATCGTCAAAAGAGCTATGCTGACAAAAAGCGAAGACCGATGACTTTTGAAGTTGGGGATTCGGTTTTGCTTAAAGTCTCGCCGTGGAAGGGACTTATAAGATTTGGAAAAAGGGAAAATAAGTCCAAGGTTTATTGGACCGTTTAAAGTTCTTCAGAGGATTGGGAACCAAGCTTACAAGCTCGAACTACCAGAAGAACTGAATGGAATTCATAACACTTTTCATGTGTGTTATTTACGAAAGTTCACGGGGGAAGTTCCCGACATGATTCCACTTTCGGAGTTGAGAATCGATGAGAACAAAAGGTTGATTGAAGAACCAGAGGCAATTGTTGACCGAAAGACTAAGAAGTTGCGACGCAAGATGGTCGAGTTAGTGCTTGTCCGATGGAAACACACGAATGGGCCGAATCTCACCTGGGAGACGGAGAGTGACATGATGGGTCGCTATCCGCATTTGTTTGTTGATGTGTGATTCCGGGGACGGAATCATTCTAAGGTGGAGAGAATTGTAACGCCTGTGTTTCTGGGCTTGCCATTTTTAGCAATGTAATAGTCTAGGTTAACCTTTGTAACCCGTTTTGAAATAATAGAAGTGTATTATTTGAGTATTATGTGTTTTGTGCTTAATTGCTTAATTATGTGGTTTGATTAATTAAGAATAAAAATAAGCGTCAAAATTTAAGTGTAAAATAAACTTGATATCTTTAGATAATGTTGTAGTAGTTGAAACAAGGTTTCCGAAGATATAAAGAATGCCGAAATCCGAGTTATAACGAAGAAGTTATGACCTGTCGAAGTTTCGCGACAGAACCGGCAACGCTGAATGACGTAAAAAGTGAAATTTACGTTAGAGCGATATTTAGCCTTAGTGATCTAAACGAGAATCGAAGATCTCGTTGTTAGTATCAAAGCGATAAAAAGTTAGGCGAGAACGGACGTCAAACGAAGAAGTTATGAATTTATAACGAAATTTTCTGTCCCGGCCTATTAAAAATAAATAAAAAAATAAAGTCAAAATTAGCCGACGGAGTCTAAACGAAAGTTGTAGAGCGTAGTCTCACCTTCGCGTGGATATAAAGAACGTCGAAAACGGAGTTCGTATGAAGAAGATATGAATTTTCGAAGTTTATTAAATAATTAATAATTAAATTTAATTATTAAATCGGTATTATCCGAAGACGAGTCACCGGACTCATCCGGAGTACGCCCCGCGTACTCGAGTATGCCCCGCGTACAGCAAGAAATGTCGACACTTCGGATGACGCATGCAGTGACGACTTCGGAGGCATGTACGCCCCGCGTACTGGGAGGTTCCAGCCTCCTCTAAATAGGATGCGAGGGGTCCGGGCATAATTGCTCATTTCTCCTCCGTTTCGTGCCGAAGCTCTGCATTTTTACCCCCGAAGCCACCCCGAAGCCCCGGTAATATTCTCGAGTCCCGAAGCAAGTCCCGAGATCCCGAAGATCCCGAGAAGTGCGGTTTCCGAGCCGAAGCTCTGCCCGCGAGAAGTTTGATTTTTGTAAAGATCTTCCAGATCTGCTGAGGATTACTACTTTTGCAAGTCGTAGTGCTGTCCGATCATCTTCTGATCAAGTGAGTGTGTAGTTACTTTCTTCTAACGCATAATTATGAAGTATTTTATACGAAATACGTGTTATGTGTATAATTTTGTTGTTATGTGTGTGAATGTATATTCACTCTCTTTAATCTCATAGATCTGATTTGTTTTCTATGAAATACGTGTTATGTGGGTATGCCTCATCTGTTATGTGAAATATGTATTGATGAAAATGCTATACAGGTTTTAAACTATGTATAAAAATATATTTTTTATCTACTAATATGTTGGGTAGAACATGGGTAGATAGTTGGTGTGTAATAAACAGATGAGAGGCCTCGATGTTGTTGTTGTTGTTGACCTAGTTATTCAGCGGAGTATGGATAACGACCACAGACTCCTTCTAGACAGTCTCGTGGAACGCTAGCAGGTTCATAACCTGTAGGTGTTGTGAACGATGTGTTCACCGGTGTACTCTATCCCCCTCATGGTTGCCTTTAGGATATCTATTGTTGAGGAAACCCCTTAGCAGTAATGTCCGTCCCGATGAAAATCCTAGATTAGGTCCCTTGAGATAGATGTTGTTTTAGGGACGTAAAGTGAGGATAACGGGAATGGGTAATCGGGATAGTGATTGGTTGGTGAAATTAAATATAATTTATTTATTGTGGGTTGCAAACCCTATATGCTTACCAGGCTCCCAAGCCTGACCCACTCAGTTTTATTTGTATTACAGGAAGTGGCGCAAGGGCGTAAAATGGATGAATCATCGAGTTGTTTTGTTTACAAGTCTGTATATGTATATATTTGTTGAATGACTTGTAATATTATCGTTTATGCTTTATGGTCTGTATCGGAACATGACACCGCGAGTTTTAATTATATAATGAAAATGCATCTCTTGATGAAATGCTTTGATAAATATTATTTTATCATGTTTTGTTTTGGGAACAAATTCCGCAACACTTTTAAATCAAAAGGATTTACTCTGAAATTATTTTAAAAAGCATAAATGAAATCGGTCTTTTCTGGCCGAGATTTTGGGGATGTCACATTTCCTCACTGGGTTTAGTGGGTCTAAGACACCAATTTCGACCCTTATTTATTATGCTAGGATGCTAGGAGTCTGCATGACCCTTGTATGTGTTATGTGCTGCTATGTATACCGGATGGGACTCGATGTCGGGCGAGGCTCGATGACTGGAACATATACTAGCGTTTATGATCATTATATGTGTTAGCATGTTTATGTGATATATTGTATGTGTATAGTGGGAGAGGCCGAGTGACAGCGAGGCCTGCGAAAAACAGATCTGTAAACCGAGCGGGGCTTAATGTCGGGTGAGGCCCGATATCGGGCGGGGGCCCAGTATATGATTTATTATGTATGGTATGAGGTAGTTTGGGGAACTTACTAAGTTTTGTACTTACTATTTTTAGTTTATGTTTCAGGTACTTCCGGTTGCAAAGGGAAGAGCTCGGGTTGACTGCATCGCACACACCGTTAGGATTCCTCATATAATGTTTTACTTTGATTTTTATGACATTTGATACATTGGTTATTTGAGATATATGGATGATATTTGGAAATACTATTTTATCTATTTTAAAAATGAAATTTTTGGAGCCGGGATGTTACATTCTTAAACAAGGTACTCCACTCTTTCACGGCATTCTTTTGATTAGGGTAACCATATATGGTGGTCAATCAACAATATCATGTGTATTACAACTCAAATTCAACATTATTTTATGTCATTTGGTTAGTCTAAAATTAGTTTATCATTCGTCATTAAAGGCAGGATACAAAACATTGGCAAATGCAACATCTAAAACTCTATGGGTTCATAATCTATTACTTGAAATTGGTGTCAAGATGACCCAACCTCCTACTACATTTTGTGATAATTACACAGCTACATATCTATGTTCCAATCTCGTCTATAACTCTCATATGAAAGATCTAGCACTCACTTTGTTCAAGAAAAAATTATAGATGATCCTTGAGTCCATTGCACATAAGCTCTATGATGAAATTGTTGATGTTCTTATAACCAAACCATTGGTTCGCAACTTGTTTCTCCATTTATGCTCCAAGACCAAAGTCTCCGATATATCTTCCATCTTATGAGGTGTTAATTAAGGATAAGGATAAACCTTATCCTTAGTCAACAATTTGTTTCAAATACGAATTACAATTCATATTTCTCTTTATCTATAGTATTCTACTATGGTTAGATTAAATTCATTAAATGTCACATTTCACCTCATTCAACCGTTTCATTATTTTAAGCGGTAAGTATGCTCTTATTAAAATTGGTTGCACGTGTTGGTTCAATTTTCTCTGAAGAAATAGTCTACATAAAAGGTGAGCTCCAACTTAATTACATGAGCCATCAAAACATTTTCTTGAAGGCTTGAATTGAAAGAGAAGTCTCGATACTTATGTTTATAAGGATATTTTCAAATATGTATCATTTCTATATAAAAAAAAAATACCCCACATGATACCATGATATTCAACTTAAAAAGCAAGAACAAAGTAGATTAATCAAAAAGGTGAAGGAGCCAGTTCCGTGAGACTCATCTGAGAACCACCGAAATGAGGCAACCAACAAGGAAGGTAATGGTATGTCTGCATGTAAGAACAATACCTCGGCTTTGCAAAGAATGCCGCACACTCCCATACCGGCCTCTGAGATGGGAGCCCAGGGATGCAGTTCTTCCTCACGTCAAGCACCCCTTTCTTCATCAACCCTCTGCAAATCGGACCTACTTGAATGAAATAGTTATCAGACAACGACAGGTTAGCCAGACTACTCATGGCACAAACCACTTCCGGCACCATCCCATACAACAAGTTCCCAGCGAAGTTAAGCACTTCTGCTTTCTTCAAACACCCTAACGAAAATGGTAATGGACCTGTTAAAAGGTTGTTCCCAGCGTCAAAAACCACGGTTTCTTTCAAGAAACCGATCTCATAAGGGAGGCATCCACTCAGCATGTTGTTTAATAGCAAAACCTCTGATAAACCCGACAAGTATCTGGCGATGGTACGAGGAATCGGTCCATAGAATTTGTTGTTGGCTAAGGTGAGGTATAGAATATGTGAGTTTCCGAGAACTTCAGCTAGTTTCTGAATGAAATTATTGTTGTTCACAAACAAGATGTCCAAGTCTTTTGTGAAGAGTTGAGGTGGGATTGAACCTGTAAAGAGATTAAACCGGATATCAAGAAACGATAAGCTGTTCATACCTAGTATCGAGTTTGGAAAAGATCCAGAAAATAAGTTGTTGCTGATGTCGAGTTCGTACAGGTAAGGAAGCTTAGCTATGTTTGGAGAGATGGAGCCTGAAAAGAAGTTAGAGTTAGCATGAAAGAGCGCAAGGTCGGGTAGTTGGTCAAGGAAACCATCAAGACTTGGGGCTGTGAGTTGGAATCCATTGAAGTCGATGGATGCAAGAGTGATGGCAGTTTTGTTGTCTGGCGGGTTGTCACAGTAAAACCCTCTGTAACTACATATATCTGACCCGACCCAAGATCCAGTGATGTTAAGGGGGTCGGAGGAGATGGTGTTCTTGAAGCTTTGTATCAACGGGTAGACAACAGAGAGTCTTAGATCAATGAACGTTAGTCCATCGAGTTCATCTTTGATTACTTTGACAGGGTTTCCAATGATAGAAGTTATTCCCCCGTGAACTATATCGACTCCAAAAGCCACGACAACAACGATCTTGAAAATGAAAAAAATCATCGGCATTTTATTGGTGAGTTTTCTTCGAGCTCAAATGTAAGAACCAGAGAAATGTTAATGGATTTGATCAAAGTAGCCATTAAATATTACTCATTCTCAAGGGACCACTAATCTTTCTTTAAGGTTCGCAGTCATCTGGATTATGGAATTGAATTATGTTTTACATTAGTCATGAAAAGACCCATGTTTATGGCCATGTAGGATACCCAAACTTGAATGAGAAAGGATGAACAACATGGTAGGTCAGGTACTCAGGTCCCACAAATTAACCTTTTGACACGTTTTTTTTAAAACTTACACTGTTTTTCATACCGATAATTCAACTAAAAACAAACAAACGAACAAAAAGTAGCATAAAAGGTTCTCAATTAGTCAATTTATAGCTATGTACAGTATAATACTAGTTAGAATATTAAAGATGAATGAAAGATTAATTGGTTGGACAGGTTGGTGTTGTTGGTCTTCCACTTAGAAAAGGAAAGATGAAGAAGGAGAAAGCAGTGGAATGCTTTTGATTCAAAGGTGCTGATGATTGGTTAATACTTTTATTTGTTAATGTACTCCACCAATGACATGACATGGCAATTGGTGCATTCATATGACGCCCACTTCATGTCATGCCTCACTTGACAATCTTTATAAGTCTAAACCAAAGTATTATAAATTATTAATAATGATTAATATAAGGGTTATTCGTTAAAAAAAAAAAACAAACTACGCATTTCATTAAAGAAATCGTCGAAATGCCTTTAAATTTGCACGAATATTTCATTTGCCATTTACGCTCCGATTCTTCAAGACCTTATCTGGTTATCTCTACCGGAATACAATGACGAATTACAAATCTAGTATTTAAATTCACAAATATCCAGTTTAAATGAGGTAAAAATAATAAATAGATCAATTTTCTTTTTATGGGATTGGTATGTGAGTGACACCATCTAAGCCAAGTATTTCATTAACTATAGATCAGTTCTTATATACTTTGAGAAAGGAATTTATTGTTCATTGTTATAATTATGCAATGAATAACTTGTGTCATTTTTTTTCAAATAAAAGTATTAAAATTATACCTAAAATATATCATAATCGTCACAAACCCATACTCATTAATAATAGTCAATATTGCATATTAATCACAATTGTGGTTGATATTGTCAAAGCAACTACTTTTCTTTGGTTCAAACAGATGAAGAGCCATGGAGGTTTAAATTAATTGGACTTATTCGAGCATTTACCCTTTTAGACCATGCGGTATTGGCCAAACGAGAAGAAACGGTGATGACGTGGCACACCTCAACGGCGTCGTGACGGGGGAACACCACCTCCTTATTTGTTTTTGCTCGCCGAGGTTGAATCTCGTGGCCGTCGTGACTGGATGTAACGAATGAAATTTAAACGTTTTCAAATGTTTAAATGACAAAGGTTTAAAAAAAAAATTAACTATTAAAAAAAATCATTTACCCTATAAATACCTACCATTTTATAAAAAATTTCACACACTTTCTCTTCTCCTTTCTACATAGTTTCAATTATCTTCAAAAAAAAAAATGGACTCTTTCGAGTCGTCCGATGATTCAGATGACGATATTTTCTTTAGGATGATGTATCATTATTACACTAACGACCTGCTACAACCAGACTCAACCCCGCTACTAACAAGACATGCGATGTTAAACAGAAATCGCGAGGAAGGACACAGACATCTATATCGCGATTACTTTGCAGATAATTGTGTATACGGGGCGAAAGACTTCAAAAGAAGATTTCGTTAGAGTATGGATGTGTTCTTACGAATCGTCAACGCCTTGGAAAGCTGATATCGCTTCTTTACTATACTTTTAAACAAAATAAATAAAAATGTACAACATGTTTCTTTAATTTTACAATATATGCAATATATTTTTAAACTGTAGTTAATTTATGTTTAGGTACGAATTTTTTCAATTAAGATATGATGCTATAGGTAGATGAGGGTTTACAACGTTGTAGAAATGTGTTGCAGTCATTCGTTTGATGGTTATGGGGGTCACCCGACACCATGGATGAATATATGAGAATGTCTGAAAGAACCGCAAGGGAGAGTTTGTATACATTATCAAGGGGTGTTGTTGAAACATTTGGAGACGTGTATTTGCAGAAACATTCGTTGCATGATTTGCAAGAATTGTATGCAGCGCATGAAGAACGCCATGGGTTTACCGGAATTATCGGAAGCATTGATTACTGAAGGCGACCATTGGATTTGCAAGAATTGTATGTGGCGCATGAAGAACGCCATGGGAGAGTTTGTATACATTGTCAAGAAGGAGCACCTAAGGATGTGGAACGTGCTTTTGGAGTGCTGAAGGCGAAGTGGCATATAGTCGAACATGCAACACGACCATTGGATTTAGAAATTCCACGATATATCATGTATGCATATATCATAATGCACAACATGGTAGTAGAACATAAAGAGCGAAATATTGCATATTATATCCCAACAGAACCCAGACACGTTCAGTTTCAACCAGGAACAACAGATTATTTGCATCGCGTTGTTGACATTCAGGACGCAAATAAACACAGACAACTTCGAGAGGACTTGACGGATTATATCTTCTAATGGTAACAATAACGATAACGAATAGCGTTGTTTTTTTTTTTTTTTTTTTTTTTTTTTTTTTTTTTGAATTTGGATGGTATTTTTTTTTGTCTTTGGATGTTATGAGTAATTTAATCTCTATGTTAATTCTAATCTTTAAAAATTATTATATGTTATTTATAATTTTTAAACATTATGTTTTATTTATTATGTTATATTTAAAAAATATTTGTCTAAATTAAAAAAAATGAAAAATAAATTATAAAATGGAAAAAAAAAAAAGTTGGTGTCATAACAAAATACAACATGATAATCATTTCTCCACTTAGTGTTATAATACCATTGATGATGTGACATGTGATGTGGTACAAAAATAACGTTACATCTAGTTGTCCACACCTAGTGCTCTTAACTAGCATGTATTTTTGAATTTTGTTGTTTCCTCTTTGTTGTTTGTAACTCTTTACTCGCCTAGAGACTTGCTATGTGTAGTCTATTTTTAATATATCATTCGATGGTTTAAAAAAAAAACAATATACAAACATTAAGAAAATATACTATATTAATAACTAAACAAATAATATATTATATTAATAAACAAACAAATAATTAACATTGTTTTTAATTTTTTTTATTAAAGTTATAAATATAACTATAATTTTAATAAATCATAAAATTAAATCAGGTTATATCTAAAAAAAAAGATGGAAACCGGAAATATAAGAAAATATAATTTGACAGTTATATATTTCCATACACAGTAGAACATACTAAATATCAATGTGTATTTTGTTAGATAAGTAGAAAGAGAGACCTCAAAAAAGAACACATGGTGCATGTTGAGTTATATGAATTTAATGAGTACAAACTTATAATTCATTGTATCATTTTGAGTATCCTTTAATGTTTTAATTTATTATATATATATATATATATATATATATATATATATATATATATATATATATATATATATATATATATATATATATATATATATGCTTGTGTTATGATTTTGTGCAGGAGGATATATTGTGAACAATTTATATAACTATTGGACTGGATTAATAATGTGGTCAAGATATGTACACGCGAGTTATATTTGACCTATATTATTGATCAAGTAATCCGAATTGACCTGTCAAAGATATAGATAGGATATTTGTGTAAGGATTGAAGGTTACTGGGACTTTAGCACGAATATCTTCTTCTTTCTCTCATCTTTAAGGTTCTCTGTTCATAGTGTTCTTCTTATGTTATTAATTATTCTTTCATGAAGAGTGTGGATTAGTTGAGTGATTTGTAGTGAGGTCTTTTGTAGAGAGAAGAGTGTTTATGTAGAGAGGTTTGATTTGTAAGTAATCCTGAAAACCTGGTTCTTAATGAAATAAGAACTGTTGATGTTGTATGTTTGTTGTGTTTGAGTTTCTTTTGTTGGTATCAGAGCCGAGTAACGGTGTTTGTGATCAAGTCTTGTCTAGATTGGTCTAGGGTTTCTCATCTAGGTCAAGTTAGGGTTTCAGATTATTTTTGTAGATCGGGTCAGAGTTTCAGGTCTAGTATATGGATCTGATTCTGGTTTTCATTCTTTTCCTGGGGTTTTTTGGATCTGTTAGGACTACAATTTTTTTCCTGATCTGTGGTGGATCTTGAAGAAATTGGTGATCATCAACCTGGTTGTTCTCTTGTCACTTCTTAAGAGTAAACGTTTGTGGTAGTAGTAAACGTTTAGGTTTAATTTGTATTAATCCTAACGGCCAACGCTATCACAACGATCAACATTAAGATTGTGTAAACAAGGTTCTAAAATCAGGTTGGTTTTGGCATTTGAATGCCCTTTACGATTTTCAGCGGTGATTCTGTATTACAGAACTCATCAGAACTACTTTGCTGCTTGTTGAGCGTATTAATTGTGGATCACTGTAAGTTTCACACACTTCTTTTGTTTTCTTTTTAGTGTTGTTCTTGATAGATCAGTTAACATCTGATCATTTGTTTTGCTTCCTTTACATCTGTAAACTAGATTGCTTTGGCCTTCTATGTGCTATAATTCTTGTCTAGTCTATAGAAACTATTGTGGAGGTGTGTGTTTTGAGTATTGGCTTTTTGATTTATCTGTTTTTTGATTGGTTATTGTTGTAATCATGTCTGATACACCACCTGAAACACCTAATAAAAATGATGTTGTTGATTTTGATAATCCACTGTATTTGCATCCTTCAAACCATTCTGTGACAACTATTATAAGTTTTAAACTTCTTGGTACTGAGAATTTTAGAGTTTGGAAGAGTTGTATGACTAAGGCTCTTAAAGCTAGAAATAAACAAGGGTTTATTGAAGGAACTGAATTGAAGGATAATAAGGATATTGTTAAATCTTTAAAATGAGATAGAGTTAATGCTATTGTATGTTCCTGGAT